AACATATGTTTCAGTCAAATATATTTTGTTTTATTATATTGTTTTTATTCAATCACGAAATATTTAATGATTATTGTTGAAACATAATGTTCTTTTCTATAATTAATTGTTCTCGGATTCATAAACAAAACCACGTGATCAATATATAAAGAAATTAGAATCGAATACATGTAATGTATAATAAAATAGAAAATTATTTTAAGTTACTATTTTTATTCACAAAATTATATGTTGTCATTATAAATATGAATAACATAAATATAAATTTCTATATTATAAAATCTATAATAATCAACTATCAATCAAATATAATATTTAATTAATTCTAAATATATATTTTTGAAAATAAAGCATTTATGCAATTGGTATTTTTTATTTCGATTTTATTTTGTGCTCTAAAATCTTTCTTATTTTATTTACTGTTATGGATGAACACATAAAATTAGATTATATTTGAAAACATTAAAAGTAAACCTTAAGTAACAAAAAGTAAAAATAATTCAGAACAATAAATCTTTTAAGTTTTAAGTGAATAATTATTGTTAATAAATTTTAATTAACTTAAAATAATTATTTAATAAATAATAAATTAGATAATATTTTATAAATGTTCATATTATTTATAATAAATAAATGATAGTAAAAAATAAATTATAATTTTTTATAATTAATCATACTATTTATAATGAATATAAAAATAATAAAAGTATTATATTAATTATTTTTTTTTTATAGAAAATTATTAAAAAAAATTATTTCATATAAACAAAGCGCGTGGCAATTTATTACGCATGCGCGACCACGTACGATATTTGGACGACAACACAACTGCCAACAAACACTTGTGCCTTTTGATAGTGTTATTTTATTAACTGTTCATTTGTTTATTGCATATATTACATTATGTCCAGTGGTGGATGGGAATTAGTTGGAAGAAATAAGAAGGATAAAAACAATGGAAAAATTAATAAACTTACAAAGGCCGAAAAAAAGAAATTTATCGAAAATGCACCAAAAGTGGAAGATTTTCGTAAGCAATTTTTGTCAATTTTTAATAATTTTTCATTTTTTTTATAATATCAGTAAAAATTTTTAACTTCTTTATATAACTTTTTTTATAAAATTTTTCTATATATGTGTTTGAAAATATTTTAATATTGAATTACATTATATAATAGTAATAATGTTTTTTTCAGTTCCTTTAAGTCAAGTAAAAACTTTATATGATAACTTAGATAACAATAAGGAAAATAAAAAGCCATCAAAGGAGAAAGAAAATAAAACAAAAGAAAATGAAGAAAAAAAAAAACAACAAAAACAACAATCTGAGAAAAAAAAACATGAACTTAAAGAAAAGCCACCAAAGTCTATAAAAGATGCATTAAATATGGTATATATATATATATATATATAAGATATATATATATTTTTTAAATTTGTCATTTTTTTTAATTTAAATATAATAAACTTATTATATAAAACATTATTTTTAACAGATTAATGTAGCAGAGCTTCACAATGTTTTCATTAATAGCCAAACAAGATTTCCTGAAGCTCCATTAATTTGGTTGAAAGATCTTGCTGCTTTTCTTAATATAAAAATACCTGTTGATAAAGAAGATGTAATCTTCTCTGGAAAATCTAAAGATTATCCTTTAAGTATAGTACCTAAATCAATTTCTTCCATATTAGAAAAAGCGATTGACATGGCAGGCAAACAAACAGTACAACTTTTTTATGAAAATACTCTTACTAGTATGGCTACTGATATGGTAAAAGGATCACCTGTTTTGGGTCATAAAATATTTTTGCAACTTTTAGCATATATTAATCCTGAAATGACAATTGCTAACATTTCCAAATTAATCAGAGTAAAAAACTCTTATCAAAATAGAAAAAATATTGGTCTCTCTATATTGTGGGCAATATCACAAGCTGGTAGAAAAAACTTAGCTGTGGGTTTGAAAGTGTGGCATGAAGTAATGTCTCCCATGTTAGAAATAAAAAGTTATTGTAGTTATGTAGCACAAATTTTAAACAATCTTGTGTTTGGACATGAAACATTTCATGATCTTAAACCAGAACTTTATCTTGATATTATAGAAGATATATGTTCTGGAAAACTTAATATTTCTGCCTCTATAGGCAAAGAAATTAATAATAGCATTGAAAAATTAAGAGTATGTTTCAAAATTTCAATTATTGATTATTGACTATTATAAGATAATTTTACTGAAATATATAATTTTTTTTTATTTTTTCAGTCAATTTTATTTAAAAATAAAAATATAAATTATGTGAAATTATTTGAGATATTAATTACAAAAATTACACAAAAAATACATGCAAACTATAGGGATGAATTAATTAAAACACTTGTGACTTGTTTGGCTACAGATTCACTTTGTTTTTCTGTTTGGAAATCTATTTATGGCAAAAATTTATATCAATCTCATTTGATTTTATCATATATTGGTAAGATTATATTTTATAGATGTATGAAATAAAATTTAATTTATTTACTACTTAATTTTTTGTAGATACTAAATGGCATGTTTTATATGCAACATTGGAAATAAAATGTTTGAAAGAAACATGTATAGTATTTCAAACAATTAATGAGAGATGCAAAAAGAGTAAAGATGAAGGTTTTGCTAATAATTGCAGTAAATTATGCAAGGTAAAATTATAATTGTTTTTGTATTGAATATAAACATCCATATGTATTATATAAATAATATTTTACTTTTAAAATTAAAATGTTACAAAAAATGAATAATTACTTTAATATGATACATATTCTTTATATATAATAATATATTTAAAAATATATTTGAAATAACCCGCGTTACTTCTGTTTATGTCTTACGTATGCGCAAAGCAATGTACTGTTAGAATACGCTACGTAATATATAAATCGTGTTTTGCTAAATTTTCTAGATTTACATATAAAAAGACGTGTTTAAACATATATATATAATTTTTTAGTCACAAATTATAAAATTCTATTTATATTCATATTTATTTTCGCAAAATTGTGTGTGCGATATTTAAATAATTTCATAAAATTTAAATCTCAAAGTTTAGGGGTTAGGTAAGTTTGTTTTTTCGAGAGAAGATTATCGATCGCATATTGTCTCTTCGACATTATTACTGACGATATTAATATCATTCATCGCGTTATACTTTTTTTTTGTAAAGAAAAAAAAAAAAAACGAATTATAGACAATATTTTAAAATAAATAATTTAAAAGTTATTTTCATTCTTTTTTATCAACTCTGTGGGTAAGAAGTACGTATTCAAAAATCAAGAGTGTAACATGTTTACATATATACTATATATATATATACTATATATATATATAGTATATATATATATATATATATCTATGATACAACTGTTTTTTATATTGACCTTTAGACTTGTTAATAAAAAGAATATTTCAATGTTTCAAATGATAAAGAAATTACTACAACGTATAGTGTTTTATTAATCATTTATTACAGGTATTATTATTGAAAATGACAGCCTCTGCCAATAAAAAATTTCCCTGGAAAAAGGGAATTATTTTGTTATTACTTTTTATTAGCGTCATTCTTGGTTATGATATTTACAAACATGATGATTTTAAAGGTAATAGATAAAAAAATATTTATCTCATTTATGATATTAATTATTTATTAATTTTCATATTATAATTATAATATAATAATTATTATAATAAATTATATTATATTATATTATATTATATTATATTATATTATATAATAAATAATTTTTTAGCATCTAATACAAATAAGTTCTTGAAAAGAAGTGGATTATTTGCCTGTGGACAACAATCATGGATTATAATGCAAGAATATTCTTATAAAGCGCTTGAATTTATAGAAGCTACTTCGCCTGAATATTATAAAGCAACTATTGAAACATGTCAACCTTATATTAAATTAACTGGAAATGTTTACATTATAATAAAAAATCATTTTCTTAAAATTTATGACTATATTCTGGAATATATTGAAAAAAATAGTCCTTTGATTATACAAACAGTAAGTATTAATGATTTTAATATATAAATTATATATAAATAACAGTATTTTATATATTTTATACATTTTACAGATAGAACATTATATTCCGGGAATGTTAGATGAAATTAAATTACGAAGTAATCAAGGATTAGAATACATGAAAGTGTATTCAAATTTATGTGTAGAAAAATTAAATGAACATTCAATTGCAACTCTTCAATGGTTAGAACATAATATTTTTGTGTAAGTATAAAAGAGATCTTTGATTTATAAATAGTTATGAAATATTAATAATAAATAGCTTTAAAATATTTTTATTTTTTTAGTGGAAAATTGAGTCCAGAAAATTTGCAAAATTATGCTTCAAAAGCTATTGATACTACACAGACATTGGCAAGTCAAACTTATGATTGGGTTTATGAAAAGGTGCAAACTCTTTCTAAAGTTCCATGAATGAAATTTATCAAAAGTTATGTACCAGTTTTATTTTGGTGATAAGGAAAATCTCCTCTCATACCTCTGCATTTAGTTCTATAATTCCAAAGTTAATATTACATATTTCCAAATATATTGTGGTGGCCATTTTGCCTGTGATAAAAATGTATTATATTCTGATTGATTATGACATTTTAAAGATCTACATATTTAATGAAAATGTCAGTTTCTTTTTTACGTTAATATTGTCAAAATACTTATTAAAGTAATATATAGACTACACTATATGTTGTACAAAACTTAAAACTTCTTTATACATTCACTAATATATTTTCATTTAATTTCTCCAATATGGTGTTCACAATGATAATATAAAAATTGATTTATGATCAGACAGTGTATTTAATGAAATTACTTTTTGGTATGTTTTTTTTTTTACAAAAATAAAAGAGGAGTATAGAATAGTGGTTAATATTATAATACATATAGAGTATTAAGTTAATATCATTGGATACAGCAATAAAAAGAATAATATTTATAAGACATATAGAATAATGTTGATAAATATAGATATAATAATATAATTATTATTTTAATTATAATTATAATAATGCTAATAGTGCAACTCTGATGATGATTATAGTGATAACAATAATTTTAACGAAGAAAAAAATAAAATTAAAATTTTATATGAAAAGAGATCTATGAAATGTGACATCCATCACATCCATAGAACTATGCATATAAAAATGAATTCCTTCATTTCCTTGCTTTTCAGAAATGAATTTAGTAGAAATTATTTTTTTTTTCTTTATATAATTTCACAGCATTTTTCCCTGATTATATGTATGAGCATACAATACTAAAATGCACACTGATTACAAAATTAAGTCAGTCTGAATTAATGTGTTAGAGCTCATGAGGAAAAAAAACTTTCATTGTGTTTTTATATATTTGATTGCATAAATATTCTTCTTCTTCATCTCTAATTCGTGCAAGTATTTCCAAAATTTGGCTGTAAAGAAAAAAAATCAAAATTCATTTCATAATTAAAATCTACTTGTCTTTTATTATATAATCAATGTGAATGTAATTTAATCATTTTAAAATTTACTTTAATAATTGATTAATATATTTACACTATGGTACATGGTTCATTTCTTCCTTTAACCATTTTATCGGGTTGCCATTTTTCTTTTTTAATACATGGAAAATTGGTAATAATATCTTTTGCAGATGCATGTGTAGGTCTTATTTCACACCATGGACAATCAGTTTCTATCATTAATTTATCTGATGGTATAGTTGTAACAGCAAAAAGATTTTCTTCTGTTTTAAGAGAACTATAAATAAGATTATATTAATTATTTGATTTTGTATAAATTTATTATTTATATAACATACCATCCATTGATGCCAATATATAATCCCATTTGTAAAATGGAATTAGCTTCTTCTGGATTCCCATCAAAAGAATGTACAACACCAGCTGTTAAAGAATCTTTATGTTTTCTTAAAATTCTTATAAAATCTTCAGTAGCATTACGACAATGTAAAAACATTGGTAATTTCAAAGTGGTACATAAGGATAACTGCATTTCAAAATATTTTTTTTGAATATCTTTGGAACAGAATTGTAATCTGTCATAGTCTAATCCTATTTCACCAATAGCTACAATTTTGTCTTTATTGCCTGCAGCTAGATCTGACAATGATTTCAGATATGCTTCTGGATCATCATTTTCTTCAAATTCATTACAACGTGTTGGATGACAACCAACTGTAGAAAATAATCGTTCTGTAATATATATAAGAATTAATATGTAAAAATATTCAATAAAATAAAAAAATAATATTGTAGGTACCTAGATATTTCCATTGACATGCATTTTGTTGTTGGAGTTAAAGAATAGAATTACAGCAACCATTGCATCTCTCTTTCACTGGTTTCTTCATATGCAATGATTGTATTTCAGTTTAATAATAAGAAATAAATAGTAGTTGTACATTTTAATACATATAAGTTTTACCCTCACAGTTGAAAGCCTGCAAGGTGTACAAAATGTTAATTGTATCAAAATCATTATATATGTCTCTAAAACATTAATGTCTTTATAGAAAAATAAATTAAAACTATAAAGTATTATTGCCTGTGATAGAGAGACGCGATAGTATACTATAAATTAAATTTAATAAATATTTTTTTTCAATATTTTTAAAAAAATATCTCACCATCTGTTCGTGCTATTTCGAGAGCTTTTTTACTTTCTTCTATATTACCGGCAGTGATTATAATTTTTGAAATATTGTTATTCCAACTTCGTTCTAAAACTTTATCCAAATCTGGCAGATGTTTTTGTGACCCATGATAAATTCCTTGATACATAGGATCTGTCAAATTGGCCCCAATATCTATATTGAAATTAACAACGGTACAATATATTATCTGTTAAACTATAACCTTTTCGAAAATATCTTTAAAAATAACATAAAGATACACTGTAGTTTATGTAAAAATATTGATCATTAAAATGTTAATACAATCACTAAATAAAAAATTTATTTACCTATAAATTTTCTTAAATTACTCATTCTATTTCTAAGCATTCAACTATCAGTGAAATGACAATTTTCTTAAACACGATACTGTTTGAAAGGTTAGCAGGTGTCTTATTTAACCGGCGTTGTGTACTAATACACGAGTTTAGTTGATATTCGATGTTCCATGAAAATAGAAATTATACTTTCTTATCATTTTATATATGCAAATTTAACAATAATAGAAATTAATATAACTTTTATATTATTTTATATTATTTTTTATTCTACATATTAATTACATATTTTTACATATTATATTCTTATAAAAATTTCAATTTATAATGAATTAAAATACGCATTTTTTAAATTAATATGTTATAATTTTTAATAAATGTTAAATGTATAATTTATTACAAATTATGTTTATTACAATTTTTTGAAACAAATTTACATTCATTACAAATTTTAATTCATTATAGAAGAAAGGTAAAACTTATTATTTAAAAATTTTAGCTATTGCTAAATTATTTTTATAGAATTTTTTATTCTCAAATATTTTTTATGTCAAAATATTTTGAAAAATTTTGTTACTGTAAAGATTTTATAATAGAATTTATTTTTTCAACACAGTCTTCTTTTTTTTTTGTGATAGCTGCTTCTGCTTCTACAAATTGTTGACGTCCTATCTTTCCTGGTACTAATTTGTCTACATATAATGCTTGTTGTTGATTATAAAGTTCTTTCAAATTTCTATCATATTTTTGTAATTCTTGAACACGATCATATACATCTATTGATTCTCCTTTTAAACGTTGTATAATTTCCGTAATAGAACTTGTTGCATTCTTATACTCTTGATTAATACCTTTTACCACAGATAAGAATGCATTGGCATCTTTATTTGCTTTAAGATATGCTAATTGATCATCTAATTCATTATAAGAAGTTACTCTACGATCTTGTGCAGCTAAGATCTTTTCACACTGTCCAGCAATTCTTAATTTACTTTCTGAAACTTCATCTTTATCAATTGAAAAATCAAGTCTAACATAAGTAATTACTAGCAAAAATAATAAATATAAAGCAGCAGCTACAAGTAATGGTTCTTGTAACATTAATATACGTGGAAATGTATATTTTAATTTAAAATTTTGAATATGATTTTCAACTAAATTTTTTTTAGTAACAGAAATTACTGGACGACCAGTAGTATCTAAATAAGTATAATGAAGAGAATCTGGTAAACGTGTTGTAGGATATGGCAAGTTAAGTTCAATATTTTTAGAACCTTCTGGCAAAATAATCTTTACAATTAATTCATCTATAACCATATCATCAAAAATATGATCCAATAATCTCATTTCTAAAGTATATAAATCTCCAGAATGAAATAAATATTCATAACTAGGTACATTATATCCAACTATATATTTAGTTTTCCAACCTCCAAAAAGTGGAAATCTTGGACGAAGATTTAATTCAACTGAATCTTTCTTAATACGAGTATGTGATGTTGAAATGTTACCAATTTCATCTCTGTAGTAAATATCTGAGGCAGCTGCAGGTAAAATAGTATCAAAGCTTTGAATACTTGCTTCCCATGATTTTGATTCTCTGGCAAATTCATATCGTGAAAATGAACCTTTCAGTAATGCTCCAGTATGTAATAAATCAATGTGTTCTTCTACTGCTATATTACCCCAATGTGATATTTCAATATTTCTTTCAAGTTTGGTAACGGTAAGGAATTTATTATTGTTTTCAAAATGTATGTTTAATTCCTCATAAGAAAATGGACTAAGTTTCTCATATGGACCATATGTGATAAATGAATCACTTTGTGAAACAGGTTTAAATTTAGTATAGCTTTCAATATTACGTGATGGTAAAGATACAGTAGTTGTTTGCTTTATTATAGTATAAGGTGTATAAAGATAAATATTTCCTATGTATTTTACTAATTGCTTTTCTTTTTGTGTAATCTCTTTGGGATGAGGTATAAGCTCATGTGTCAATATCCATTCTATTTCAACAGACATAGTTCTCCCAGGAGACAATGGATCTTTTAATTCAATTTGATAAAAAATTTTATCTGGATAAGCATTTACCTTTGCCTCGTTTAATTTTAATTCAACTCGTACTGGTTCTCTATAAGCAGCTATATAACTAAGACTATTCTTTTGTTCAGGTTCTAATGAAAAAAGAAAATTTCGTATATGGCGATCTTTACTTCCATTTTCTAATACAAGTCTAATTGTAATTTTTGTTAATTGAGATTGCAAATCGATATGTTTTTCCACATTCTTAAAGTTTAAATCAGGATCGATGATATTGATAGCAGCAAAAGATTGGATATATAATCCAAAAAATAGCGCGAAATTCCATATTAATATAATTAAATTACTATTAATCATATTTTTTACGTAGGAATTTATTTCACTGCTGTTTTACACTTTTAACTAACCGGCAAACAGGTTACAGTCGACATATCATAGACGTGGCGTTTATATGAAACTATGTATAATCTAGATAGGAAACTAAGTTACAAAAAACAGGTTTTCTAACAAGAAAATAAAGTTTTTAATTTTAAATTTTTACTATATAACAAAAAGAAGAATAAGAGAAATAAAGAAGAAAAAAAAAAGAAAAAGACAACGATAAATTATAATTTTATATTTTATATATGCAATTTCATATTCATATTTTATATTTTAATTTTATTATGGAGAATCTAACCTTTTAAGTTTAATAATTTCGTATTGCAATATAAATATTCGTATTGCAATAGAATAATAAGTATAAGTAATAAGTATTCAATTTGTATTAATTATTTGAAAGAAATATAAATGAATAATAAAATTAATTAAAAAAATGATATTATCCAAAATTATACCTAATTTAAAAAAATTATTATGTAGTCAGTAAGTAATATACATGTTTATAAATTTATTATATAAATATAAAAATAAAATATAAAAATAATAATTGGAAATATATCATTTTAATATATCATATTTTTATTAAACAGTTTATATTACACAAATCAATATATGTGTAGATCAAGTTTAAAGAAATTTTACAAATATCAAACAATATTTTATTGTCGTTACAATGAACAATCGAAAATAAATGCACAATATAATTCATTTAATAATGTAAGTCATAAAATTTTTATTTTATTTAGAAACAAAACAAATTAATAATACTTAAATATTAATTATATTTAAATATTTATTAAATATTATTAATATTTAAGTATTTATATAAATACTTTAATATTAATATAATTTTATTATTTTTTTTTTAAGCTACATGATAATAAAAATAAAACTGAAGAAATAAAAAATTTTACACAGGTAAATATATTAAATTTAATTATAATATCAATTTAAACATGATATTAATATTAAATTAATATAACAGGAATACAAAAAAGATATAATAAATTCTAATAACTATATGATTACAGAAAAAGGTAAGTAAAATAAAATAATATTAATTTATATTTAAGCTATATTTATAAATATTATAATATATTAAATTTTATTAATAAATATTCTTATGTAATAAATTTCAGATATTGAAAAATTACATCCAAATCCTGTAAATGATCTTACAAATATTTATAAGATTGTAACTAAAGAATTTAACGAGCAATATATATTATATACATATACAAAATTAGCAGAAATGAAAACGAAATGTGTCATTCAAGTTACATGGCCTTACAAAACATCCTTTTCCAGTGTAGCATCTAAAAAAAAAACAGCTGCTAAAAATGCAGCATTACAATGTTTAAATTGGTTATATGAATATAAGAAGATTAAAGGATCGAAACCTATATTATATGATCATCAAAATGAGAATAATTTATTAAATTCTCAAAAATATCTCAGTATTGATCTTACATCAGATTTAAAAATTGAAATAAAATCTCTAATTGATATCTTTGATAAAGTAAAGTTTGCAATATGTAGAAATATATATTTAATATTATATAAAATATATAAAATATGTAAAAAAATATTTTAATATATTATAATATTATATGATTTTAGGAAATGAAATCTATAACAACAGTGCCATGTACTATTAAAAATAATGAAGATAATTTGGAAAAAGTAGTAGAAGCTGATGTAAATGCCAATTCTTTAGATTTCAATCAAATGCATTATAATCAATTTAGAAAAAATTCTAAAAAAAGAAAGGATCAAAATAAAGATTTGCCTATTATTAATTATAAGTATATATATATATATATATATATATATTTATATTTATACATAAAATTTATTATAAATTTATTTAAAATTCAAAATAAATTTATTCTTTCAGGGAAGAAATTCTTAATAGTTTACAAAATAATCAAGTTTTGGTGATTAAAGGAGATACTGGATGTGGCAAAAGTACCCAAATTCCACAATTTATATTAGATGCATATAAAGAACACAATAAAATATGTGAATGTAATATAATTGTGACTGAACCTCGTAGAATATCAACTATTTCTTTGGCTCATCGTGTTGCATGGGAAAGAAATGAAAATATAGGCAATACAGTAGGTTATCATGTACGATTTGAAAAAAAAATACCACAAGTTCAATATGGTTCAATTTTATATTGCACAACTGGTATATTTTTGCAAAAATTAAAGTATGATCGTACTTTAAAAAAAATATCACATATAATTATAGATGAAGCTCATGACAGAAGTTTACAAACTGATATATTATTGAAATTACTTAAAGATATATTGAAACATAATTCACATAAAAAACTTATAATTATGTCTGCAAGTATAAATGCAGAAATATTTCAACAATATTTTTCCTCTACACTTATTAATATTCCTGGAAAATTATATGATGTAGATATGCATTTTATTGATGACATTCATCTTTTTGATGATTCATTAAATTTAAATGATCTAATGAAAACAGAAATTCCTTTTGACAAAATAGTAAATTTAATAATATGGATTATTACAAATAAACCACCTGGAGCTATTTTATGTTTTCTCCCAGGTTGGCAAGAAATTAAGTATTTGCATGATATGCTTCAAAACACAGAAATGAAAAATTTATTGATATTACCTCTTCATTCTAAAATACCTAATCATATTCAGAAAAAAGCTTTTAAACCAGCTCCTAATAATTTTACAAAGATTATTTTAGCTACAGATATAGCTGAAAGTGGTATTACAATTCAAGATATAAAATATGTTATAGATACTGCTATTAAGAGAGAAGTACAATGGAATGAACAAAAATCTTTATTTAATTTAAATTTTAGTCGCATATCACAAGCTAATATTTTTCAGAGGTAATTTTTATGCCATATATATTGCAATTTGATTTTCAAAGAAAAGATTAGAATATATATTTATTAATATATAGGAAAGGAAGAGCTGGACGTGTACAATCTGGTGAAAGTTATCATTTAATTACTCGAAGTGAATACAATAAATTAGATTTATACCCAAAACCAGAGATACTTAAGCTCCCATTGGATGAAGCAATTATCATCAGTAAAACATTAAGTGATGAGAAAATATATGATTTCTTTAATAGTATGATTGATTCACCTAATGAATCTACAATAATTTCTACTGTGAATACTTTAAAAAATCTTGGTATTCTCGATGATGATGAAAATCTTACAAGTTTAGGAAAATATGTTTCATATATTTCATTAACTCCAAAACTAAGTAAAGCAATAATATTGTCTTGCATTTTTCAGTACGTAATATAATTAATAAGAAAGATTTATATATATATATATATATATATATATATAAAATATACTTTATACTTTTCTATAAAATTAATTATTTAAATAATTTTTTGAAATTTAAATCATATTTATATTTTTTATAATTATATGATTTTATGATTGCACATCTTTTATTCAATATTTTTATAAAATTAAAATATTTTCATAAAATTATTTTTAATTGTATCTATACGAGATAGATATATTTGAATATTTTTTCAGATGTTTAAATCCTATACTATTAATTGCCACAGCATTTTCTACCATTAACCATCATGTTTCATTAGATCAAATATCAAATATACATACAATTTCTAAGAAAAAAAAATTGGAGTATCATAAAACGAGTGATCATATAGCTGTATTAAAATATCTTAATGATATTTTAAAGAAAGATAAAGATAATTCATCATTTTCTTTTATTTATAATTATGATAAAATAATTCAAACAATAAAATTGATACAACGTAAGTCTATTAGATATTCGAAGATATATAATAAAATTGAAATTAATTATTAATTATTTATAGAATTATGTCTAATACATATAAATGAACTTATAAACTGCAAAATGATTCCATCTACATTTGATTTTAATTATTTAAATATAAATGCTAAAAATAATGAATTAATTCGAGCGATTTTATTTGCCGCTACAAATAATTTGATAAAAAGAAATGCTTATGGTTATAAAAAAAAATATTTTACACATCAAGCAAATGTTTTAACAATGGAGTTAGTATAGTATTTAAAAAAATGAAAAAATTTAAAATACAATTATAATATATAGAAAAAAGCTGAAATTTATATAATAATAATTTTTAGAAATAACAAAATTGTTAAAATTAAGAATGAAAGTGTAAATTATAATCGAAAAGAATGGCCAAGTGATTTATTAACTTATATTGATAAAATGGATTATACTACGAGATATTCTTGTATGATTTCTGATACGAGCATGATATCACCATTATCAGTTCTATTATTTAGTCAGAATGATGTTCAATGTGAAAAAGTATATTTTCTAAAATATAAATATTAATATATATTTATAGATTTTTAATTTATAAATTTATAAATTTTTACTTTTTTTTTTGCAGATACAAAATGAAGTTTCTACAGAAGAAGAAAAAATTATTATTACTATAAATGATATAAAGAATATAAATTTGATTTGTGAATCAGAGTTTGTATTTATATTTTTATCTTTTTGAATGATTATCTTAATACTTATTTTATATGTTGTTCTTTTCTAGGACTGCAGATCTATTATTAAAATTTCGAAATATATTATGGAATGTTGTAGATTATATAATTAAATATGAAGGCACAGATGAAAATAATTTAAAATCAGTTAAATTATTCAAAGATCATCTAATGGTTTTAATTTTAAAAATATTGAAAGAATCGTCAAGAGATATTGATGTATTTAAGGAAAATGAAGATATTATTGAATAATGAAAAAATTTAAATTAATAAAAATCAAATATTTTTAAAAACAAAAAGTATGTACATTTTTAATTATATGTAAATATACAAGTAAAAATAATATGCATATAGATAATATATAGATAAAATATAGATAAAATAATATGCATATAGATATATATGCTTAAAATATAAATGAATATTATAACAATTCTTTATCCTTCATTCATCAATTTTAAGAATATAAATTTTGAAATTTATTTCAAAATATTTGTTTATTTATTATAAAATTTAATATATATTTGTTTTATGTATATATTATATATTATATATAAAATTTAGATATAAATATACATATTTATGGGATAATGTGTATTTCATTATAAATCACAATATATAATTTTTCTATAACAATTTATCTATAGTTATGTAATGTTTATATTTTATAAAATTTTATATAAATAATATATAATCTTTTAACTTTAACTTAGTTAAGTTTAATACTTACGTTTTCTTTTTTATTAAATTTTTAAAATCCCCCTTTCTTCTTTTATAAGAAGAATGTTAAGAAATTGAAATTTAATCTAAAATTTATTTTTCTTAAGTCGTAATTATTAATTGTATTAATTTAATGATTTTATCACATGATTTTATACATTCCAATAAATCTTTGTCGAACATTCACAATGTTTATAATTTTACAATACAGTACAGAACATTCATAGTTTTGTTTATATACATATATATATTTATTTTTAAAAAAGATTTTTCAACATGAATTAGAGATAGTTATTAAAAACATTCGAATAATTATATATAATTAATCAATCGTAGAATTTCTATATATATATATATATATATATATATATATATTTCTGTTAAATCAATTTTTTAATATTTATAACAGTATAATAATATAAAGTGCATAATATTTCTGGTTTTGCATAAAATATATTAACACTGATTTATTATAGAATTATAAATATATTTAATATATTAAAATCTAATTTATATACATTTGACAGGTACATTGAAGCGTGCGCTTCTAATATTTTATTACAAGAAACAAAGTGTGAGGAATAATCCTTATTGTTTTGCTTTTAATTGTTTAATAATTTAATACATTTTATTCTTGCATATAGAATTATAATAAATTAATGAAATAACAAAAGGAGATATATATATATTAAAATTTATCATATTATAAATATAAAATATGTATGAATCTATTTTGATAATAACAAATACAGTACGAAAAATGATACGTTTCCACGTCATATGGTATTATTAAATAAAGCGTAATATTTTGTAACAATAAAATCAATAATGAATATTAAGTTATAATTAAATAAAATTTGAAATAAATTTATAAATAATCGATGTCTTGTTTGATAAATATATAAAATATGTTGTTATAATTCTCTTTATTTAATGACTATCAAAAAAATAACAATAACAAATATTAATAACAATGATAAAATAATATATTAAATTTATAAGTTTGAATAACTATATTCTAAAAATGAAACAACTTTACGTTATGTATTTCTAATGTAATCAAATTTCTTATACATATTATTTAATATAAAAATGTTTTTTTATTTCTTTAGGAAATTATTATCACATCGACTAGCAATTAAATTATAATCTAGATATAATATTCTTTAAAGAATAGTAGAAATCATTTTAACAAACATCCATATAATATATTTTTATAAGATAATATTGCACTTCCGGCCTTTTTTCTATTATATTAAATTACAATGGCAATTTATAATTATTGTCAACCACACGTTTTTTATTCGTTTATTCTAAGATAAGTATATAAATATTTTCTTTTTATCAATATCAAGAATATAAAAGTAAATAAACATTCCTTTTCATAAATATTTTTTCTTTTTATAATTTGTTTTTAATATATTGTATAAATATAGTATAGTAAACTATAGTATAGTAAATGCACATTACTTTCAGATTTACTCATTGTCAGACTTAATATTAGTAATTAAATTATATATTTACCCGTTTGACGAACTTTTAAACGCATTTCTGTTTCATATTTAATTTAATTAAATAAATAAAAATTTACGCATAATTAATTTTATATCGAGAAAATGAATAAACAAAATTAATATAAAGTAAAAGAATTAAAATAAAATTAATATAAATAAAAAGAAAGAGATGAAAAGATAAAAAGATAAGTTTATAAATTAAAGAAAACTCTACTTAAGATTTTACTTAAGACTATGAAAGATAAGATGCAATTGTGAAAAAGTAAAATAGATATGAATTTACTGGCCTTAAATAATAATTAAACAATTGTATTATTAAACAATAGTAAATAAGTATGTATACAAAAAGATTCGTAGATTGCCATGAAAATCTTTATAGGATAATCTTAGATGGCAACTTAATTTTGATTTTTACTCATTTCAAATATATTTAATACTGTATTTTTACGTTTTATTTTATTAGCCTTTGAAAAAGACAAAAAAAAAAAAAAAAAGAAAAATAAATAAATAAAAAGAGAAAAAAAAATTAGAAATATGAAGACATAAAAAGATTCTATAAGTTACTATTATAATCACAATTCTTAATTATGATCATTAAACAGGCATAATAATTACCATCTATTCTAATGTATCATTCTAATTTAAGGTTTCATTTAAATATATATATAATTTTAATATTTACTTTTTATCGTGCATAATTAAACTGATTCTTTAGATCCACACGGCGGAAGAACCGTGATAAAACTTTCAGTTTCGCTATCGCTGGTGCTAAAATTTGATTTTTCTAAAACTCTATTCTCATTTTTGGCACAAAATGGTTGAATGTAAGAGTTTTTCGTTCCAATTTCCATCCCTGAATCATTATTTTTCAACAAATTAGACACATTTGAAAGTTTGCGAAAATTTCCAAAGAAAACACTGTCCGTTCCAACACTTTCTGCACCGCTCTCGCTCGCTCCATCACAGACGGATTCGGTTTCATCAGTTTCCGAGACGCTACTCACTTCGTGTTTTAGCAGTTGTTTGTGCGACCCATTACTATCCGTGCTACTTAAATATCCGCTATCTTCTATTTTCATTCGTGGTTGCGGTTGATACCCGAACAAATGATTCGTGGAATAATTGGTAACGGATTCGTTATTTCTGGAAGGTCTTGTCAAATGTTTTCTTTGGAAATCTTGTTTCTGACATTGATCGAGAAATTTCTTTTTATCCTTTTGAATGCGAGAATTATACCATGATGCAGATAAATTAGTCTTTGACTTTTCTCGCATGCAATTGTTTCTCGTTTCATCTATCAATTGATGCTTGCATTCTGTCATCGACTCCTCGGCTTGTTGTCGTTGAACCTTGTCGGAGTAAGAACAATCAATGGCCCCTACGTGGAAATAGTCACAGGGGACAGGAGAACCGTTGCTGGTCGTAGGGTCACCCGCTTCGGCAGGACTCCTGTCCCACCCGTTTTTTGACACAGAGTTCGATGATAATTTCGTATCTTTCACACGCCGTGGAGGTTTTGGATGCTGATAGATATCCTCCGTGGGCGGTAATGGTACCACGTCCGGTTGATTGCTCGGTTGTCGTTGTCTTTTCAACTGTCTTATTTCGGGTGTTAAATACTTACATTTCTTCCAAGATATGGAATCTTCTAAATGGCCGTTCAACGATTTAGTGCTATTATTCAATTCCTTGGAATTGGATTTCAGCCTAGCCTCGTAGATTTCTCGAAGACTTCCGTAGCCACGATGCAAACATGGGCCATTTTTCCCCGAGTCTTGATCACGAAAGCTACCCTTACTTTTGAGAAGAATTTGAGCAGGCCTTTCGAGAGAATCGACATAGATCTCATCGGGAACGTCTTTTTCATAACTCGTGCCGTCGTTGATTTTCAACTTCATCGGTTTCCTGTCTAACGTGTCCGGTTCGTACTCAGACTCGTCCTGTTTTACATAATTTTTCGGCGAATCTTGAACTTTAATAGTCAAATGTCCAGGATTCTCGGCCTCGTATTGAATCTCTGGCCCAGAATCGTCGCTGCAGGCTGGACTATCGTAGCCATCGTTCACATACACCTCGCTAACGAGGGAATAACTCTCCGATTTTTGAGAAGAGATTAACTCCGGTAGATTATTATAATACCCTTTTTCGAAAATATCTTTATTTAATTTATTCGATATCATCATCTCACCAGTTCTTGGATTGATCACAGCATTTTGCATCGTCAATTCTTCATCCATTGGCAGAGCTGTGGACAAAGCTGGGCTCGATTGATCGGTGGATTCTGGCGAATTGGACGATTTCCTGCTGGATTTCGACCGTTCCAAACTATCCACTTCGTAATCAGCGATATTCTCCGATTTCGAGTGATGTTCAACCAACACCTTTGCGTCAACCATTTCACGGATAACGGCATCCATGATACGTTTCGCTGTATTTTTAGCATTTGGAAGCTCGTTGATCATGTCCGGCAATTCTTTTTTCGATCCTGTCGAATTTTCGCCCGATTCATTCCTTCCTTTCCGCAACGAACCCTCCCTCATATTTGCTCTTCCTTCCTCCTTCCCATTTTCATTGCTAGAAACAACCGCCATGTTCTCCTCTTCTTTATTTTCTTCTTTCTCCGCCGTCCCTTTCTCCAGAATGGCGTTCTCTTCCATCTGTTTGATGAACGAATTTTCGATGGCTTTCCTCACCTTGGTGTTGATGACTTCATCACCGTTGCCCCCACCTATCGAAGTATCCCCGTTTCTTCTCGGCGAATAATAATTGGATTCCTCGAACATCGATTTGGTCGAACGTTTCGAAACGCTGTGTCGATCGTCCGTCTCGAGAATTTCGCTCCTTGCCACGTTTTGAAACGTTCTCATCATCATTTGTGAACTCTCCTTCCACGAAGAAACAATTTTTCCCGACAACAAATTCCCTTTCGCATCCGTGTCGAATTCTCGTTTGGCCAATTCCTTTAAATACTCTAAATTCTTGTTGAAGGTTTTCGTGTTCTCTTGAAGGGTCTTTCGAGCTTCTTCCGCGTCTCGCCAACGTTGAGGCGTCGACCTAACGTCCGCCAACCATGCTCGAACCTTACTCTCACCCGGATTTAACTGATCGGATTCTGGAAGAGTAGGCGTGTCTCTGAACGTGTCCGTCGTGCAGCCGGGGCATCCGGTGCATCGTTGCGACTTCCGTGATTTGGTGATAGAGCTTCGAGTCGAATTCGAGGCCGATTGTTGAAGCTGATTCTTGCCCGTCGCGTCGCATTGTTCCGTGTTCGTTTCCTCTTCCGGGATCCCTGAATTTGTCGACAGATCGAAACACTTAAGATCTTTTATTAATTTCTCGAGAGATTTTTTTTTTTTTTTCTAGTCGATAAAGAAAGTAAATTACTGTTATCAACTGACCGACGAGGATAGGGACGAATTTCTTTGCAGCCATTTTGTGCTTCGCTATGGAGATGACCTCCCGAATTTTTATAAGAAATTCGATAGCTGCTGGAGGAGGCGCCTAGAAAAATTCCGGGCTGTCTTCAAATTAAATCTCATAATTAAAATATAATTATAAAAATTATTTCTCTTTTCTATTCAATTATTCAATATATTTTACACGTTATCTTTACGTTTACGTTTATATAATATAGCCTTCTTACGAGCAACAATTGTCTGTCGAAGTAAGCGGGATTGAAGTATAACTTTCTTCTCTGAGCTCCAGGTAATACGGGAACATCCTGTTGATGTTGATTATCCACGGTTTCCACGACTCGCACATCCTCTTCTGGCAATCTTTCCCCTAGAATGGAACCAGTTCCAAAGCAAGCTTCAGACTGTTCCATGTAAATGCAATGGGGATGAACGATAGCCGAAGTAACCTGTTCCGTACATATAAAATCAATCATAAATTCCCTTGGAAATCGATGTTTTACAATATTCGTGCATATGTCCATGCTAGAAGAAATCTGATTAATTAATTAATTAAAAAAAAAAAAAAAAAATGAAAACAAGAATGGAAACAAGTTTTAAAAACAAGTTTTTTTTTTCACGAACATTTTCGAATCCCTGTTCACCGTCGCTAGGTGGAAGATCATCCCCCAGATCGCTCTCCGTTAAACCACTGTTAGTATCGCTCTCGAAGTGTCTCGAAGCAGCGAGCAAAGGGTTGCTCTTCACCAACCCACTCACTTCTCGGCCAGGGGCCAAGTTTATTTCCGGCTCCTCGACGATCTTTCTCTTCGCCTTTTTGCTGTGGAGGTACAGGGACACGCTCGCGACGTAGATCAATGCAAGGATCACGGATGAGAGGCCGATGGCCGTGTACTCGGTCGCGGAGAGCCCTTGCGACAGTTGCGTTGTCGAGGAGAACATCACTTCTCGAACGTCTGCAACGAATCGAAGCGAAAGTAATTATCCTCTTTAATATATTTTTATGTTTTGAGTTGAGCAAAATTATAAGATCAGTGATCAGCCTATATAATTCAATTTCCTTGTTCGAGAGGCGGATTAAAGCGATTTAAAAGAGAGGAAGAATACCGACTGCTTTTGGACTGTGAACCAGCCACCCTGAAAGCCACGCACGGGGTGAAGACACCGGGGAGCTTCGACTTCTGAGAGGCGTCTCTGCACACGAGTTTCGCTGTCACCACGCGACCCTCAGCCGCTTCTCTCAGCCCGGTTTCGCCGATCCACTGCAACGATTCCAAGATTATTCCGTCAATGATAGAAAGTATATGGAAAGTATATTGTTTTTGCGGACGATGATTTTTGAAATGAGAAGACGAATCGAAACGAAAAGATTTTTGAAATATTCGATCGATAAGGAAGTATCGTATCATCATATATTTCGTCGTCCGCGAAAGTTTTTCTCCGATAATGAAATTTAAACGTGTTTAATTTTCTCAGCAATCGAACTCCTTCAAGCTCCCTTAATTAACCTTACGTCGGAGGCTTGTACACGTAATGGAGAGGAAACCAGTAAACGGCTGTCTTTCATTCGCTCCGAGAATAAGTATTTTGAGTGACGTTCAAAATACGACACATGCTTCCCGTTCATCTTTATTTCATTCGATCGTGGAAAGAAAAATTGATGTTACAAAAGAAAAAAAAAAATGTGTGAATAAAAAATATTTCCTTTGTTTTATCGATGAAACGAGGAATTTTAAACAGAGTGGAAGAAAGGGTGGAAGAAGAAAAATGGGGGCATCATAACCTCTTCGAATAGGAAAAATGATTCTGAATCGTTGTAAGAACGCGTGTTTCTTCCTATATTATTACATCAACTCTCTTGATTGACTTGTTTCGCGCCGGTGCAGTTTAAACAAACCTGTAGAAACGTTCTTCCTTCGTCACGAAACAGCCTGAAGGGTGGCTCTGTGTCCGAAAGATTCCTCAACTCTGACCATCCTGCTCGCCCCAATTGCTGAGCCCCAGTTATTCCGCACACCGGCGTTGTCACACCTTTGCGCGAAAAGGGGAACACATTCAACTCGATTTGTATTTACAATTACAGAGTTGCGTAATTGTAATAATAACGTTCGTCAACGTTCGAATTACAGCGAAAAATTAGTAAATTAACTTACCTTCGAAGCGTATTTCCGCGTGAGGATAGATTATCTGGCCACGTTGAGGTAGAAACACGTATGGCACCCTCTCGACTTGGCCTGTGCCGCTCACGAAACCAGCAACGTTGCATTCTAAAATCATCGAGAACTTTACATTTTTTCTTCTGATAAATCTGATATTTATGATTGACAAATTTAACGAGCATCGTTAAATTTTGTTTGATCACAATTTCTCCCTTTATTTGTTCACGAATGGATGGATAAATAAGATTAATGTAAATTGGAATAAAACTTTGGAGGAATATTGGAGGAATATAAATAAAGAATTTTTTAGAATTCGATCGAAGAGAGGAAAGAGTAAATTAAGATGTCATTCTGCCCGTGATGCAGCTTTAAGTTTCCTCGTGACTGACAATTTTCTGGCGTATGCACGAGATGGCGTGCAATTTTCAGACGTTCTTTTTTTTTTTTTTTTTATCGCCCGCGGTCATCTGTGGCGCAATTATGCAGCTCATTTAAAAATTTCGGATGCCCTGCACGCAGGTGCAATGGAGAAAGCGCTTCCTTTGATCGGGAAACGTACAAAGGGGAGCATAAATGTCGGCATTCTGTTAAAAATATTGTTACTTGCCATGAACGTGACGGAGGAATCGTCTTTTTTGAAACAACACTTGCGTCCAAACTTGTAAAAGTTTTCATTCGTGCGAAGAACTTTTCTTTTCTTTTCTCTTTAAAGAACGGAATTCTAAATTTTAATTTAAAAAAAAAAAAGGAGAATAATCTTCCTCGAAAGAAAGTAACAGTCGAAAGAAACTGGAAGAAGAAGAAGTTTCACAAGTTTTATCTGTAAATATATTTCAATTAACCGTTCTGTTTGTCTCCAATATGATCACATCGATTTTTGAGGATTAAAGCAATAGATCCTCGTATTATAGAATTATAAGAATTCCACGTTCGAAGGTTCTTTACGCGTCTATGTCCAGAGATATCGTTGCAAAATACGTTGTTTAATTCATAATTTAATTAAACAGTTACGGAGTTAGAGGAGAACCGGTCGTTAAAATGTTAATCATTTCGTCGATGGCGTCAAATTGTCAGACAAAGTTCATCACGGATAATTCGACGCCTAATAAAAAAAATCTTATAGTCTTAGAACGTTCGAGCTGTTTTTATTGGTCGATATCGAAAATATAAATAATATATCGAACGACTCTTGATCTCTGGAAAAAGAATAGTTCAAATACTTGAATGGATCATTTTTCCCCAAAGAAATTCTTCACATCGTCGTATATTTATAGGAATTGAAGAATTTATAGAAATTGTTTTAAAACGTTCGAACTGGTTTTGTTACAGAATAATGCAAATTAACGAGTGTCGATATCGAAAATATAAATAATATATCGAACGACTCTTGATCTCTGGAAAAAAAAGAGTTCAAATGCTTGAATGGATCATATATTTATAGGAATTGTCTTGGAACGTTCGAGCTGATTTTGTTGCAGAATAATGCAAATTAACGAGTGTCGATATCGAAAATATAAATAATATATCGAACGATCCTTGATCTCTGGAAAAAGAATAATTCAAATGCTTGAATGGATCATTTTTCCCCAAAGAAATTCTTCACATCGTCCTTTATTTATAGGAATTGAAGAATTTATAGGAATTGTTTTAAAACGTTCGAACTGGTTTTGTTACAGAATAATGCAAATTAACGAGTGTCGATATCGAAAATATAAATAATATATCGAACGATTTTTGATTTCTGGAAAAAGATTAGTTCAAATGCTTGAATGGATCATTTTTCCTCCTCCCTTCCAAGATTCTTCACCGATCACACCGTCATATATTTATAGGAATTGTCAGAATAATGCAAATTAATGGATCATTTTTCCTCCTCTCTTCCAATATTCTTCACCGATCACACCGTCATATATTTATAGGAATTGTCTTGGAACGTTCAAGATAAGGTTTTGTTGCAGAATAATGCAAATTAATGTCGATATCGAAAATGTAAATAATATCGACGTTCGAACAACTCTTGTTCTCTGGAAAAGGAAGAATTCAAACGCTTGAACGGATCGCTTTTCCTCCTCCCTTCCAACATTCTTCACCCATCTCACCGTCATATATTTATAGGAATTGTCTTGGAACGTTTAAGCTAAGGTTTTATTGCAGAATAATGCAAATTAACGAGTGTCGATATCGAAAATGTAAATAATATCGACGTCGAACAACTCTTGTTCTCTGGAAAAGGAAGAATTCAAACGCTTGAACGGATCTCTTTTCCTCCTCCCTTCCATTCTTCACCGATCACACCGTCGTATATTTCGTATATATATATATTTATATTTAAATTGAAGAAAAAGGAAGCTTGTGAATTCGTGATAGGAAACAGTAGTGAGCCGCAACAGTCGCAAATCGCGCGACTCGGTACCGGTTCCTTAACGAGAGAACGCCACGCGGACAATATTTTCCTGTTTATCAAGATTTAGGCGTTTGAACACGTATCATCCTATGCGTTCCACGATTCGCTGACAATTGGAAACGAGTTTTTCTGGAAGAACTGCTGCCGTTCCCCGCGGATCTATTTCAGAAGAAATTTCGAAACGTCGAATGGTTAATGAGATTAACCGGGTTTTCAAAATTATACACGCTTTACCCTTGAAATATTATTAGACCTTGTTCTAACGAGAGATCTCGGTAACAGTACCTCATCAACCGATCGCAACAGGTTTACAGACCGATCTCTATCTATTATGGATTTACATAATTTGCGGTAAAAAAAAATAACCATTTAACAGATTCCTTTGATTGCTCAACTGTTCAAGTAAGATCACGCGATGTAAAAATGTATGGATCGAAGGCCGAATAACGTGTCAAACAACTAATAAAAAGGAATAATTGATAAAGAATTATCTATCGAATATAGTATAAATTCAATTCATGAATGTAATCGCGAAAGGAATAATGCACGGGAACCTGTACACTCGAGTAAATTTAAAATCAAGCGGCACGACTGTTCAAGTAAGATCATCCGATGTAAAAATGTATGGATGACGGATCGAAGGCCGAATAACTAATAAAAAGGAATAATTGATAAAGTATTATCTATCGAATATAGTATAAATTCAATTCATGAATGTAATCGCGAAAGGAATAATGCACGGGAACCTGTACACTCGAGTAAATTTAAAATCAAGCGGCACGACTGGGTAACCGTATGTAACCGAATGGAAAGGCTCGACAAGTTACATGTTTGGATTACATTTCATAGTATAGTAGCATTCATTGTTCCTTCCTAAAGGAGAAAGCCGAAGGAAGAGAGTCATTGTACATCTTTCGTCGACTTTTCTTTTTTCGAATACGCAAGATATACACCATACGTGCGCCGAAAGAGAAAATGCACGATCCTGGTCTATCGCATGTGCATTACATATTCATCCTGAGGTCTTGACCCTGATCGCTTGAATTTATCTCAACGTTCTACTAATTGCTCGACTCGCTTGATATACGGTAGCTGTGTCATCGTTCGTTGTGGAGGAACATTTGGAACAGTGTTCGCGTTTCATTTTCGAAACTTTTTCGCAAATTCTTTTTCGTGTAATCTATTTATATTCGTATTCGCGTTTGTCCCGTTTCTCGTGCAGAGAACTAGAACTAGGAAGGAGTTGATTCTGAATAATTTAATCGTTGGAGCAAGCGTTTGGAAAGATTCGATTTTTTTTCTTTTATAATTGAATCAGAATATGGGATTCGTGTTTTTCGAGATTGTTATATAGTTTGGTGGATCTTTCGAAATGTGGTTGATCACATTTCTCAGGATTGTCTCAATTCAGATGAATCCAATTCTTTCTTCCTTACAATTCTCAGAAATGATATAGCGTGTCTCCTCGTGCCTCTCGTTTGGAATTATTAATTCGTCGAATTTTTGAGATAGTGATCGTCACATTTATCCAAATAATCGACAGGAAGAGTTGTTGGTCGGCCTTCAATAATTGAATGGTTAGAACAGTAAGCAAAAGATCCAATTTCGGTTTAATCCTTTTTTTTCTTACGTTGAACATTTGCAAAAAAAAAAAAAAGAATGAAAGATGGACGTTCGAAGCAGCACTTCAAAGTCGAAGAAAAATCGCATTCAGATCGATGTTTCGATAGAATAGGTTAGAATAGAAAAATCCTATTTCAATCTTTTTCTTCTACACGTCGAACATTTGTAAAAAAAAAAAATGAAAAATGGAGTGCTCGAAGTAGCACTTCAGAATCGAAGAAGAATCGCATTCAGATTGATATTTCGATAGAATAGAAAAGCAAAAAATCCTATTTCGGTCCAATCTTTTTCTCCTATGTCAAACTTTTATAAAATAAAAAAAAAAAAATGAAAAATGGAGTGCTCGAAGTAGCACTTCAGAGTCGAAGAAGAATCGCATTCAGGTCGATGTTTCGATAGAATAGGTTGGAATAGAAAAGCAAAAAATCCTATTTCGGTTCAATCTTTTTCTCTTATGTCAAACTTTTATAAAATAAAAAAAAAATGAAAAATGAAGTGCTGAAAGTAACACTTCAGAGGCGAAGAAGAATCGCATTCAGATCGATGTTTCGATAGAATAGGTTAGAATAGAAAAATCCTATTTCAGTTCAATCTTTTTCTCCTATGTCAAACTTTTATAAAATAAAAAAAAAGAAAATGAAAAATGGAGTGCTGGAAGTAGCACTTCAGAGTGGAAGAAGAATCGCATTCAGATCGATGTTTCGATAGAGGCACGCTCCTACTTTCGATCTTAGAATTTACACAGAAAGTGTATTCGAAGAAGAGAAATTTGCGGTTAGGTCTTTTCAACGAGAAACCGTTTTCGCGGACGACATTGTAACATCATGACGCGGAATCACGATCGCGAAACGCGTAAATTGCGGCTCGTGTCCATAATGGTTTCACTCTTCACGCGGTTGTAATGTAAAATCTCGATATTTAACGGGTTCTAATGTTTATCCAAAGAAACGTAACCGTTCAGAACAGGGTATAATATATGTAATTCGATTAAACATCTTGGTTTTCACAACAACACTTCTATCCTTTGTCTATTTCTGCTTTCACTTTTTTCGTGGCTATAATAAGACGAATTCCTCGAATT